CTTTTAATTTGAATTTAAATTTAAATAATTTACAATATTTTTGAATGCGTTGATAATATATATAAAAAAATAAAAATCAAAATAATTTTGTTACTTGCAATAAATATTTCATATAAATTATGTTCTATAAGATTTACAAATTTTTTTGTTTGTTGAATATAAAATATAATTTATAATTGATATGAATTCATATAATATATGTTTATAAAATATATAAACCATTTTTTTTTTAATCTTATGTTTATTATATTTTATGCTGACATAATATTTAAATAATTTGTAAATTAGTAAATATTGTATAAATATATATTATATGTATTGTTATAAATTTCAATTTTGTTATATGATTTCAACGATAAATGCTAAATTAATATAATAAAATATTCATTTCTTTACCATAAATAAATAAATGTAAATAGAATATTGATAATATTCTATATTTATTTATAGTCATTTAATGTGTGTCTGTGCGTGTTAGCTGTTGCATGGTGAAAGGCTCGAGCGACATCGTTTTGCAATTTCAGGAAGTTATTCTGACACATCCTTTGCCTGGTTGCTATAGACAGTCAAGGCAAAGCATAGACAGCAGAGAGAGAGAGAGATAGAGAGATAGATCTATACGCCAGCCACCTGCCTCGCCCATCAGCTCCATCATTCAGCTTCAACATTTTGAGCGCCTCCTTCTCAGACAGCTCGACAGCTCGACTTCTACTGACTCTTCCGACTGAGATGCTAGCGAGAAAATTGTTGTTGCTAATTTTGTTGCTGCTGTTGCAACTCTGTGTGTGTGTGTGTGTGTGTGTGTGTGTGTATGATTCGCAACAAAGATGTTCTAAATGTTAAGTTATGTTGCTGTTGCTGTTGCTGCTTGCTATTGTGTGTGGCTGTCGTTCTGCTTCTGCTGCTTCTACAGATGCGCTTGAATTGGGTCTCTCTTAGCTTTGGGCGCTCAGTAGCTGTTGCTGTTGCAGTTGCAGTGGCAGTGGCAGTTGGCTGTTGTTGCTATTGTTGTTATGGTTGCTTTTATTGTGTAATCAGCAAATAACGGCACTTAATGACTGAATGAGTTTTTCTTGAGCAGAAGCCAGCAAACGGTAGATGCATTTTGCGGTATACGCCATTTTCAAGTATTACTCACGAGGCACGAGACACGAACCATGCGCCATGAGCCATGAGGCATGTAGCATGAGTTAGATGAGGCGCAAAGCGTTACGCGTACGTATCTAGCGCATCGATAGCTTTATTTTTGGGCCGCATTCTGTGGTCCCCTTTTATGGCCGTACGTATACGTATTTACAATCGATCTATGACATGGATAGCTTTGTGTACATATTTCACATGGAATAGCTACCTTCTAGCACCTTGGTACTTAGGCATGCCGATCGCTGCAATCCATTTACGGAATATATACATACATATATATGTAATGCGGCACACGCAACTTTTGATTACTGTTGAGCTTCAATGGTTTCCTCTGCAGGCTTGGCCAATACACTGAAATGCCGCACTAAGACATACCCTACTTTTCACTAAAAATTACTTACATACACACATAGGTATATACATACATATATGTTTGCCTCATATATTCCTTTATACTTATATGTCATCACTCTCCTAGACTCTGAAACGCTTCTCATATTTTCTTCACTTTACACTAACTTGGACGTTAGTAAGGAAAGCGCGTTTAATGCGAGTTTAGAAAGCAACTGCAACTAGAGAATTCCCTTAGCTGCACGCATGCCGCATCGCATGCTGAAGAGCAGAGCCCAAGCAGCTCAGAATTAATGAGTCAGTCAGTCTTAGACTCACTGGCCAGATCGATTGCTCTGCTGCGCTGTTGTTGCAGATGAACGACACATGTTGTCCAGGGTGCATGGCCTGCGAGTTACTTCCTGCCAGTTTCTGAACCGGTTGAAGATCACTGAGCACACACAAAGCTGATCACTGGCCGCCGAATAGCGGTCTAGCTAGGTGGCCACGGGCCAGCAGTGGGCCTCTCTAAGCTTTGCATTTCAAAAGGCGGCTCATCAAAGCTTCAATCTGGGAGGAAGCAAATTTGTGAACACGTGCCCAGCCTTAAAGATTAATAACACTATGTGTGGAATTTTTAAGTCAACTAAATTCTATGCAATGGCATAGATTCCGCTTGAGTATATACATATATGCATATATTCATACAGTTGCTTCTGTTTATCAATAAGCAAGCTGATATCAAGAAATTCCATTAATTTCAGTGGCGTCAATGCAGAAGCAAGTAAAGAAAAATAAATTATCAATAAGATAAGCGTAGATAAACACAATGAAAGTGCTGCAGACGGAAGTGCCAGACTAATAGATACCTTAAATCAAAGCAAATATTTGGAGCATTTTTTAATGCAATAAGAGCTGATATCGCTAATTATTTTTCAAGAATTTCTATGCTTGTTTATCTTGCCTCCGATTTTAATAATCAGTAAAAGATTTCAATTATCAATAAAAAATTTCACGAATACAATTTCAATCCAAATACTGTACATACACATGCCGCTCTTATAACTTTTATTTCTTATTACTAAAATTAAAATTATTGATATATGTATAAAACCTAATAGCATTAACGTAGAGATATTTCAGCTTTTACAGTGCAATTAAGCATTCGCTCGCTTATGCTAATACATATTTATATATATATATAGTATATACTCATTTCACACCACATTTTCAATAATGTCCATTAATTTACCCATCTTTATGCACGCCCATTCGCTTTAGATGCAGATTTATCAGAATGGTTTTTTAATTGCAATACGTGCTTCTTCTACTTATTAACCTGACGCATGCACACAGAGCACAAAAGCTGAAAGCTAAACGCAACAGATTACAGTTATTATGCATTCGAAATGGTCCAGACGCCAGCAAGGCCTTGTTATGTCATCGAGATAGGGCTTAACTTCAGCAATATCAATATAAATATGCACTTCCGATGCAGTAAATATTACACGAATGGAATTTCTTTTCAGTTTGCATTTTCTTCGAAAGAATTCGCAACTTAAAAAGGCAATAAAAGGAAAGTCATAATGTTAAATAATCAGAGAATATCTTGTATACTACCTTAGATTATTATTTTAAATTATTATAAAACAAAATAGCCAATCAAGATTTAAATGTTATTCCATTCGCGGTTCTCTTACACTAACTGATCGATTTTTCAATTCAACGGCTGCGAAAGTACAGCAATGCGAAAAGAGATTCGAGTATTGATTATTTGATTACATTACTGTGCAGTGTAAGACCCAACAATGCACACAGCTGGACTGACTAAATACGAAGCAATTCTGGGGCAGCAGTAAAAAACTCTCTACGGCGGCATATTTTATTACATTAACGGCTCGACCCAGCGAAATGCTGGAAAAGTGCCAAAGTTTATTGAACTGCATTAAGAACGACTCGCATGAAAACAAAAAAACAAAAATAAATAAATACCATGTTGCCCACACTTTGGTGAAATGACACATGCTGACTTCTGGAGAGAAGTGAGACTTGACATAAAAAGAGCTCTCAATGTGTGATTCAAAAGAGAAAAGAAAATAATGCTAAATGTTTTACATAAACTAAAGAGAATAATGAATAGTCCATGTACATATTTATTTTTGTACATGCATATATACATATATTATTTATATTATATAGTATTATTATATATTATGTATAGTTTCCGTCAGTCGTTGAGTGCATACTTTTAGGCGTACAATGAATTTTAATATTAGAATATGAATGCATATTTAATTTTTACATTATTAATGATTTGTAAATTAATTTAAATTTCTGTGTCAATACAAATTAATAGTTTGTCATTCAAAATATGAACATTAAGGATATTTAAAAATAATAGGATATTTATAAATAATATATAATATAAATAATTCTGAAAAAAAACTATAAATTGCATAAAACTTGAAAGCTTAAAAAAAAAAAAAAACAATCAGAATAAATTTAATAAAATCTATAAATCTTTGGATTTACGGTAAAATAGATAAGTGCAGATGAGACCGAGTACAAATTTCTAAACTGTTTTGAAGGAACTGATGAACTTAATGATAGATAAACGAGGTCTTTCATGTTCGAAAAATATTCTCATGGTGAAAATCTGAGAGGGGAAACTGAGGGGAGTAGACAAAATTGAGAAGAAAATTGTTGCATACTTTCCTGCGTGGTAATTAATTACTAATGGAAAATCTATTCGTATTTTTAAACACATAATACATGTTTGATAAATGAGATATTGTAAAAGAAATCATGAATAATTCTGGATATAAATTAAAATCGAAATTCGAAATATTTAATAGGCTCACTTAAATTGTAGCTTGATTGATTTTATTTGTTTTTAAGCTGTAACAATTATGATAAAGACTGATTACATTGCTTTAAGACTTCTTCAAATTATTTAAGGTATTAGAATTTAATTTTATTAAATATGGTAATATTTGGTAATAATAGTCCCAAACCTTTCATCCAATTAACACGTTAATCGATGCACTGTACCATTAGCTACTCATATCATATGCATATAGCTTACAAACCTGTTTTCAAGTAGTCTTGCGTCAAGTATACCATTGATAATTATTCAACTCAATTCAATTCAAATGAATTACACAGAGTAGATTACAACGCTTTAAATTAGAAATAAAACGTGAAGAAATTTGTATTCTTTTCAAATTTTATACATATTTTTTTTAAATAGAAAATTTTCATATATATTTTTTTCTTTCAAAACTGAAGAAAAGGAAATTTCCATAGGTATTTTTAGGTATTCTATTATATTTATAGGTATAACCATGCGTTATCCCAAGTGTTTAGATTTTAGTGTCGTATGAGGTCCCTCCCTTTTACAGTATGGAACGTTATACAGCCTTAGATTGGATTCCACTCACTAAACTCATTGAAATAGTCACTTTGAAAATTTCATAGATTTTGGTTGATTTATTTATAATTAAACTCAAAAAACATATATTTAAATATATATTACATTAGAATGATATATTTTCAGCCTTATCTGGGAATTATTTTAGACCTTAATTGATTACGTGAATCCATAGGCTCCTGGCTCTCGCGAGTTGAATAATTTAGATATGCGAATCCCAGTGCTTGGTCCATTCAATGGCTTCCAGAGTACCCAAGTCCAGTTTCCAGATGGCGCCATTCTGGTTGGCTTCAATAGCCTTGACAAAGTTCTGGGCACACTCCAAACTTGTCTGCGTGGGATGCTCCAGCAGCAACTCGGCCACACGAGGCTCCACATCCAGCCATGAGTTTAATTTGTGGACCAGAGGTGTCTTCGTGATGCCAGGGTTGATGGAGTAGGCAGTCACGCCGGTAATGGGCGCCAGTTTCTATATATAGGGATCAAATCAAATCTATGCTCACATTTAATCGTTCGGTCTATCACTTACGGCCAGGGAATTGGTGAAGCTGAGAGCAGCTGCCTTGGATGCGGAGTACACGGGCACCTGGTAGATGGCATTGAAGCCAGTCACCGAGCAGATGTTCGCAATGACACCGCCTGGGCCGCCCTTACGCTTGTCCCAGAAGGACATGATGGCCGTGGTGGTGTTCACTGTGCCTGTGAAGTTCACTGCGATGGTACGCTCGATCTGGTAGTCGTCCAGGATGCCAGCTCCATTGATGAGCAGGTCGACTGTCTTCAGCTTGTCGAAGATTGTCTTCAAAAGCTTTGTGGTCTCTGCAACCGGGACAGTCACATCATAGGGATAGAAGGTGACGGTCACCTTGGGGTTGAGTGCCTTCAGCTCGGCAATGGCAGCTGGGTTCTCAATGCGGTCAAGGATTACCAGGTTCTAAGGAAGGCATCCAGTTTGTATCGAAGGATTTCTTTCATAGACACTCACTTACCTTTGGTCCGCTCTTGACAATCTCGCGACTGGTGTCGAATCCAATGCCACCGAGTCCAGCGACGAAGATGATGTTCTTGTTAGCGATGGCCATTTTCTTAGACTTTTTTTGTGACCTGCTCAGATGAAAACTGATTTCCGTATGAGTCGGTTAGGGCATGTGCCCAGTATTTATAGCCGCAGGGCCACGCTGCCCACGCAGCACATGGCTTATCAACAACACAGGCCGCGCAGTCGGCGTCGACGTCCACTTTGCCGCCAGTTCGAGTAGAATTTTCGGCGTTTTGTTTTGATTCGCTTCTGTTTGGTTTTTTTCCGAAATTCTACGCAACTCATGCCGGTTCCACGTATTCCATATGTTTTACTTCGACTCAGGATGACTATTTGTTCGTTTTACTTTTCGTTCGTCTGTTCGCTGGTGTCGCGTAGCGATTACGTGTACAAATCTTAAATTAAGTTCTACGCAGATACGTCGTGTAGATGCTCTGCTACGGCGTAGCAATTTATTTATAATAAAACAACTATCGCGGGCGTTATCGACTGCAAAATACTCATTCGAAAGGCAAATAAAAATTTTAAAAATGTAGGAACCTGGAAAAAGTCAACTTAAAATTCTGGGACTCTCCAAAATAGTGAAAAATACAGGGTATTTTCCAAATGCCACACCCCTAATGAGAGGTGCATACTTTTGTTTTTGTATCAACTCAATAAATTTTATGGTTATACCCTCAGAATTTATCATGATATGAATTTATATTTGACACGCCCCCTTATTCGACGAATAGAGATTGTTTATAAATTCTAAATCCCAATTCTATACACCATTGGTATTCTAAATATAAAAACCAATATTGGTATAGTTTATATATTGTCTCGTTGACTTACAGATGTTAACAGTAACTCCCGTACCGAATATATATCAGTCTTACATATAGGGCTTCAATTAGTATTTCCCGCTTTGCCGCAGTCAAAATGAACATATTGGGAAAATTTGAAAAGTTTGTTAGAGGTGGGTCCCTACTAGTACGTATCTCAAACTTCTCTAGTTGCAAGGATGTCTAACGAATAAGCAGCCTAACACATGGGCAAGACTGTATGAGACGTGAAAAACTACCATTTAAAAAAAAAATAAATAAAATAAATAAAAAATAAGACAATTAATTATACAACTAATAATTAATTAATTCAAAAACAAATTCCCTCCCTCAATAATGGGCACAGAACTTTGGTCTAGCTAACCCCCACCCTGTTACTGCTATGCACTTAGAGCTTAGCTAATCATATATACTCGCACATGCTTCTAAATCGAGTACCCGTTTGTCTCTCATGGAAACCAGTTTTCAATTTGAATAGAATAAGCTGTGTATATACGGGTAAAGCCATAGCACTCGGCGGCACCTCAAACTAGGGTTTACCATAGCAACTATTTACTCGTTTACTGAACATTGCTATCATCATTTGATCGTACGTAAATTGATCGCACGAATTATAGGACTAGACACTTTTCTACACCTAGATCTAATTTAAATATATTACTTAAAGTAACTGGATATATAAAGATGACAGCTATTGTGATGCCAGCTGTATAAATATTATGCATAAATAGAACAGTCTTATCTTGCAAATTGGTAGCTAACAATACTCTACAGATATTATTATAGCATATGATATAAATATTTATTTTTCAAAAATGGATAGAGTTAAAGTCTTAAAGTTTTATTAATTTAACTGATTATTGTTAAAAATGCAGTCGATTCTTAAAGAAAATAAAATATTGTTAAAAAACTCTAGGCGGCTACACGCCTCTTTCTGTTACCCAATTGAGATATTTGTTTTCCCAATTTTATAAAATATGCTTGTGTATTTATTGCATTAGAATGATTTGAACAATTTTTGTTTTCAGCCTTTTATGACGATTTTTTAAAATTTTGTTGAGTCGGGTGAATCTAATTTCAATTAGCCGTAGTCGTCTTGAACAGCTTAGATATGCGAATCCCAGTGCTTGGTCCATTCAATGGCTTCCAGAGTACCCAAGTCCAGTTTCCAGATGGCGCCATTCTGGTTGGCTTCAATAGCCTTGACAAAGTTCTGGGCACACTCCAAACTTGTCTGCGTGGGATGCTCCAGCAGCAACTCGGCCACACGAGGCTCCACATCCAGCCATGAGTTTAATTTGTGGACCAGAGGTGTCTTCGTGATGCCAGGGTTGATGGAGTAGGCAGTCACGCCGGTAATGGGCGCCAGTTTCTATATATAGGGATCAAATCAAATCTATGCTCACATTTAATCGTTCGGTCTATCACTTACGGCCAGGGAATTGGTGAAGCTGAGAGCAGCTGCCTTGGATGCGGAGTACACGGGCACCTGGTAGATGGCATTGAAGCCAGTCACCGAGCAGATGTTCGCAATGACACCGCCTGGGCCGCCCTTACGCTTGTCCCAGAAGGACATGATGGCCGTGGTGGTGTTCACTGTGCCTGTGAAGTTCACTGCGATGGTACGCTCGATCTGGTAGTCGTCCAGGATGCCAGCTCCATTGATGAGCAGGTCGACTGTCTTCAGCTTGTCGAAGATTGTCTTCAAAAGCTTTGTGGTCTCTGCAACCGGGACAGTCACATCATAGGGATAGAAGGTGACGGTCACCTTGGGGTTGAGTGCCTTCAGCTCGGCAATGGCAGCTGGGTTCTCAATGCGGTCAAGGATTACCAGGTTCTAAGGAAGGCATCCAGTTTGTATCGAAGGATTTCTTTCATAGACACTCACTTACCTTTGGTCCGCTCTTGACAATCTCGCGACTGGTGTCGAATCCAATGCCACCGAGTCCAGCGACGAAGATGATGTTCTTGTTAGCGATTGCCATTTCTATGGAGCTGCTCTCTAGCTAGTTCACCTGTTCAAGCGAAAAGTGAATTGCGAATAGATCCGACTAGTCCAGTGCCCAGTATTTATAACTGCACAGCACTGCCGCGCTGCCGGTCATATTGCAAGCAAATCTCTCATCTGGCTTATCAATAACGCTGACCGCGAAGCTGACGTTGGCGTCGACTTAGACGCCAGCTTGGGCAGAGCTGCTGGCGTTTTGTTTTGATTCGTTGCTGTTTGGTTCTTTTTTCTCCAAAGTCAAAGCAAATCTGCCGGTATTACGTATTCCATGTGCTTTATTTAGACTCGGAATGAGCATTTTTTGGTTTTATTTTGCCTTTGTTTATACGCTCGTGTCTTCGCGTGTTTGCGTTTATGTGTAGAAATCTTAAATTAAATTCTACATTCTACGCAGCTACGCAGAGTACATCATGCGCCGCCTCCCTGAACTAATTTATTTATAATACAACTAGAATTATAAATGCGATGCTCTCAACGGTGCTATACCCTGTGATCTACATTACATTATAATACAATTCCTCCAACTGTTTTATCCAAGTAAATATATACTTTCTTCCATATAAGGAACCAGTTGTATATAAATAGTGATTTCCATGTTTAAATACAGAGCAATAAACTAAAGAATATTTCATCTACTGTGTGCTCATGCTTAAATCAGAGTGTTTGTTATGGAGTAAATGAGATAATGCAAGGAACCAGCTTTCAATTAGTTTTGAATAACAGTATAGCTATATAACCGGCGTCTCAAACCAGGGTATACTTTTGCAACTATTTGCCTATGCTTTACGAATTTTTCAAATGTTTTTAAGAAACTGAACTATCATATGACGCAAATAATACTAAAGACTTAATATTCAAAACGATGGCAGTTCTGTTCTATGTTTAGATTCTATTTCGCATAACTGATTGGATGCATAGAGATTGCAGCATACACGAAGATTGAGCTTATCACAGAACTAAAAAAATCATAAAGATTTTATTTATAAAAGTTGAAAAACAGGAAATTTGCATAGGTATTTTTAGGAATCATATCATATTTATGAAAACAAAGTTCTATTCCGACGCAACATATACCTTATGCAAAATTTGTTTACCCCATTGAGATATTCGATTTAGCAATTTCATAAATAATGTGAGTATATTTATTTAACTAGAAATATTTAATCTGTTTTTAGCCTTATACTTGAACTAAAAATTTAGTTGACTTTCTGTGAATCTGGTATGCCACAAACATCTGGATTTCGAGACTTGAGCAATTAAATATGGGAATCCCAGTGCTTGGTCCACTTAATGGCATCCAAGCGACCCAGGTCCAGTTTCCATATGGCGCCATTCTTGTTCTCTTTGATTGCTTTCACGAAGCTCTTGGCGCACTGTTTAGTCGTCTGAGTGGGATGCGCCAGAAGCAACTGGGCCACACAAGGCTCCACATCCAGCCACGAATTGAACTTGTTGACCAAAGTTGTCTTCGTGATGCCAGGGTTGATGGAATAGGCAGTGACGCCAGTAATCGGTGTCAGTCTCTATAGGAAGAATAAATTTTGACAATCGATGCACACTTTATTAAATCGACAGGATCATCACTTACCGCCAGCGACATGGTGAAGCTGAGGGCAGCTGCCTTGGAGGCACAATAAACAGGCACCTGATAGATTGAGTTGAAGCCAGTCACCGAGCAGATGTTCGCAATGACGCCGCCTGGGCCGCCCTTGCGCTTGTCCCAGAAGGGCATGATGGCCGTGGTGGTGTTCACTGTGCCAGTGAAGTTCACTGCAATGGTTCGTTCGATCTCGTGATCGTCCAGGATGCCAGCTCCATTGATGAGCAGGTCGACTGTCTTCAGCTTGCCGAAGATTTTCTTCATCAGCTTTTCGGACTCCTTCAATGGAACGGTTACATCATAGGGATAGAACGTTACTTTTGTTTTTGGGTTCATGGCACCCAGTTCTTCAATAGCCTCTGGCTTATCAAGTCGATCAAGGATAACCAGGTTCTATGGAATGATTGAAGTTTGTATTGAAAGGTCTATTATGCAGACACACTCCCTTACCTTTGGTCCGTTCTTGACGATCTCCCGGCTGGTGTCCATTCCAATACAACCCAGGCCGGCGACGAAAATGATATTCTTGCCAGCGATCGCATCTTTACCGCCGCTCTATACAGGGTAAAAGTGAAGTGCATTTTAGTATTGATAGTCATACTGTCACGCTGCCGGTATTGCCGGAAAATCTTGAAGCTGACT